CTTACTATGTGTGAAATCTGTGAATGATCACAGAGGTCACATGGTACAGGGCTATTCACAACAGCCTTGTACCATGTGACAAGCTGTGACCACTCACAGCTCACTCAGTAATTCTCAATGACTGCAGGAATGCAGACAGAGAGAAAGAGAAATGATTGCTTTTACATCCTATATGGGTGTAAAAGCAATCAGTGTAAAAAGAAAAAAAAAAAAAAAATCTTCATCACCCTCCACAAGTAGTACAGTGTCACCATGGTGACAGTGTACTGCTAGGGTGACAGTATGTAAAAAATAAAATAAAATAAAAAATAATAATATTAAATAAATAAAATAAAAATGTAAAAAAAAATGTTTAAAAATTATAATTTTTGGTTATAAACTAATATGGATTTTTTTTTTTACTAAAAAAAAATAACGGAATAAATTTTGGCTAAGATGTATGATGAAATATTATTTATTTGCAAAATTTTATTTAAAAAAACACTTTTTTTCACACAACACTGTGCACACTGCTTTTTACTTAGTAGCACTGTTCTTACTTATTAATAAGCTTACTTTACTTTCTTGTTTGTATAACACTCTGTATCTACCCGGGTATCTTATTGGTTTAATTATAACATTACTTGCATAACCACCATGAATACTAAGGGAGTTAATAGTCCCTTTAAAAGATTGAGACTATGGCAAGAAATAATAAATCAGAAAAACAACATTTTATGTGTTGTTAGATAATGAGCTTATGTGAAATTTCCATTAACCACTGGAAATAATATTGTAATTAAGAATATTTTTCCGTTAGAGCTGTATCAGTGTGGGTGTGTAATATGTCTTCCTATAAATTCTTTTTCTATAGATAGTTGGGGATGGTTTAAAGTTGACAGAGGGAATATTCTATTAATTACACCTTCTTTACTGTGGTACAGAAGTCTTGACACTTCTTTGTTGAGAAGCCTGTTTCATATAGTTCAGTGCCAGAGTTAGTTTATCAAACAATGGGATCCAACCCTGTTGGCTTCACAAATATCCACTTCAAAGGATCCCTCATTTAGATATGCAATGAAAGTGGCCAGCCTTTCATGAATACATAATTTACCAGGAAAAGGTCATGAACTGGCATACTTAAATTCCATAAAGGGTGTGTCGAGATTTGCCTTAAATGGGGGTTGGTGTATGCTAAATACAGGGGATTTGAAGTTAGCCAATTATGAAAGGGAATAAATTTGCCAACCAATCAGAGTTACTCCATGAAAACTAATGGAGGAGAGGCCTATAACAACAGACACTAGATGGAGAGAGAGGCTCTTTTTTGGAACACCAGTTAAGAGAATGAAAGCCGTATGTACAGTTCCATGGTAATTATGGAATATATCCCTTGCACATATCTAAATGTTTGTCTTATGTCTTTTCTGTCTCACTGTTTGTATTTTGTAATATGTTAGAGCTTTCTTAATAATGTTTCTTTTATGTAACTAGATACATTGTTCGTTGTTAGTTTTAGACCTCCATCCTATTCATCAATAAATGTTGGTTGCTGTGTTAAACCTTTCACTTCTGGGTAAGAACTCTTAATTTACCAAATCATATCAGAGAAATATTATATTTCATAATCTATATATGTAAGGGACCGCCCGGCGGTACCACTAGCACTCCACTGGTCGGATGTTCCCAGCGCACGGAGTCTAAGCCCCAGGGTACTTGTTCACCAGGGCCCCTGATGGTGGGGATGGACTTGGAGTACCCCAGGACCAGGTCGTGACTACTGAGGACACCCGTCAGTGGTAGGGGTATTCGCCAGGGGCTCTCACGGGAGAGAGCCAGGTATGAGGAGGTCTGGAGACCCCGTAGAGAGGGACGGATGGATGGATGGATGGCTGAGCAGGAGCAGGGTCATACAAGCCGGGTCGGTAACTATGGGGATGGTGCGGTACAGAGCAGCGGGCAGAGAATAGTCGGGTCACACGCCAGGTCAGCAACAGCAGGTCAGATCCAATAGGGGGCATACAGGAGAGAGGTCAGGCAAGCAAGGGTCAAAACAGGAGAAAACAGCAAGGTCAGGGCACAATCCGGGTCAGCAACTTACTTCAGACAGGTTCACAGGTTCACAGGATACAAAAGACCAAAAGGCACTGAATGACAGCTCAGGGCCGTTTAAATATCCCGCCCTGCGCTGTCATTGGTGCCAGGCGCGCGCCCGCGGTCACTACTGCGCATGCGCGAACCTGATTGCCGCGGTCGGCCAAGTCCCGGCGCTCGCGTACAGGGAGGTGTACTGCGCCTGCGCCGGGACCAACGGCGCGATGATCCCCGACAATATATTTGGTCAACAGTGTACAGGAGATGCATTTTGAGCAAGGGAAGGCACCCTCCTATCATCATCGCATGTTTCCTCATCAATTTTTTGGGTAATACACCAAAAAAATCAGGGGAGTAATGATAGCTATTTGCAACTCCCTATATTTTCAGCTTCAAAATGTAGAAGCAGACTCCATGGGCAGATACCTTATACTGTCTGCAGTGGTAGATAATGTGCCCTTAGTAATAGTCAACATATAAGCACCTAACACCCATCAGAAACCCTTCTATCATCTGGTAAAGAGTAAAATCTTGCAATATCCAAAAGACCGCATAATCGTATGTGGTGACTTCAATTACATTGCTGATGGAACCTTATATTCCTCTGGCATGTGCAGATCCAGGCCTTCAGCCCTCTCCTCATTCATGCATATGGAAGATTTATTTGACCCCTGGTGGTGTCTCCATGGTACAGAGATGGTACACTTTTTATTCTGCAGCCCAGAAGTCTTACTCCAGAATTGATCTCTTTTTTGGTACACAAGATCACTTTACAAGTCATCTCTCAGGAAACTATTGGCTTAATCACATTGTCAGATCTTGCCCCGGTCACCATCACCCTCTCTCTTAAACTGGAAGGGCAAAGACATACAGCTTGAAGGATGAATACCTTTCTCCTAACGCACCCTGTGTATCAGGAACAAATCAAGACAGAAATTGAGACATACTTCAGCCTAAACACAGGCTCAGTAACAAATGATCTGCTCCTCTGTAATGCACATAAATCTTATATTAGGGGTATTTTTATCAAGCTAGGCGCCCGTGCGAAATGAGATAGAGCACAGAAACTAAATTCATTTCTTGACCAAATACGTATAGCAGAACACACCAATAAGGCACACCCTCCTGCGTAAACTCAGAGAAGACCTTCGCACATACCTGCACTCCTCCTTCGATCACCACATTAAAAAACTTTGCCTAAATTGGTACACCTATGGAAACAAGCCAGGCAGTCTCTTAGCAAAACAAGTTCAATGTAAAGGAACACTAACCACAGTCCTTTTTCATGCACAATGCATATGGCCAGAGAGTTAGTAATCCCAAAGATATTGCCAATTGCTTTAGTGAGTTGTATGACAAGCTATATAATCTAACCTCTTCCAGTATGGACCCTACACCTGATCCCACTCAGGCTATGCAATTTCTAGACTCCCTACGTCTTCCTTTCCTCACTCCATCTCAATTAGCAGACCTTAACCAGCAATTCTCCGACACAGAGATCTTAAAAGCAATCTGGTCACTCCCCCTTCATAAAGCGCCTGGACCTGATGGCTTTTGCAATGAATACTTTAAATTGTTTTCCACTATGCTTATGCCACACCTCTGTAAATCCTTTCATCATTTTATGACAACTGGAGACATTCCCAAAGAATCCCTTGAAGCTATAATCATCACTATTCTGAAATCAGGAAAAGCACCAGATGACCCGTTAACTATCACCCAATATCATTATTAAATACAGACACTAAAATATACACAAAAATTATAGTCTCCCATATCTCCTCGTATATCCCTTTACTAGTCTCAGGTAGGTTTTATCCCTAAGTGGCAAGTGTCAGATGGAACCCAAAAGTTCCTCGACCTTATCCAATGGGCGGAGCACCACAGTACGCCTTCTCTTCTCCTTTCGCTGGATGCAGAGAAGGCATTCGATAGAGTACACTGGTCATAGTTTAAAGCAGTGCTCCAAACATTTGGGTTTGTAGGCAACATATTTAAAGCTGTTCTAGCCCTGCATTTGCAACCATCTGCCAAAGTTTAGACTTCTGGTATGACTTCAAAACCCTTCAACATCACAAATGGTATGCAACAAGGCTGCCCCCTCGCTAATATTTGCTTTGGTGATGAACCTCTTGCAGAAGCTATACAGATACATCCCCGGATATCAGGCCTGCAAGTTGGCAATACCACCCATTAAATTGGATTATATACAGACAACATAATTGTCGTAATTACAGATCCCACTCTTTATGATCTCCTTACACGATTTGGTCAAATCTCCTTATATAAAATTAATTGTTCTAAGTCTTCCCTGCTTGGTATTTGTTTAGACCAGACCATTATGCAAAATCTTATACGCTCATCCCCTTCCCACGGGCACCAGCTTCTACCCTCACTTACCTTGGTTAACAATCCCTTCTAAGAATGTACTACGTATTAATCACAAATACCTCCTTAAGAAACTTCGGGACTTATGCTTTAACCTGGAAAGTATCCGCGCATCCTGGGCTGGGAAAATAGCTCTAACTAAAATGTTCCTTATGCCCAATATCTTATACCATCTCTGAACAGTTCCTAACACAGTTCTGCCAAACCAAATTTCTGCACTACAATTGATTCTTACTGTATTTATATGGGATGGAAAACACCCCAGAATATGACATTCCATTCTATGCACCCCATCAGGGAAGGCAGGTCTGGGAGCTCCAAATATAAAATCTTACTTCAAAGATATCTTACTCAATCAAGTTAAACAATTGTGAATACATTCAACCCGACCAGCCTGGGTGCAAATTGAAGAAACTGCATTAACAATCAACTAAACAAACCTTGGCTGCAATTTGGCTCCAAAATCATCTAGCCCATTTATTTATCTGCTTAATCAATGCAACAATGAAAACTTGTCAGTGATCAGCGACTTATGGTGGTACTGCAGGACTGCAGCGGGCATTCTGACACTGGTTGGGAACTGATTAACTGCCACTGACATTTCCAGTGACACTAATACAGTGATCAGTGCTAATAAAAAGCACTGACACTGTACTAATGGCACTTGGCAAGAAGGGGTTAACATCTTGGGTGATTAAAGGGTTAACAGTGTGCTGTGCGTGTTTTACTATGTGTGTTGTGTTGCGTTTTACTTGGGAGACATGCTGCTTTGTATCTCTTTGCTGTGCAGAGGGATACAAAGCAGCATGTCCATGCTGGCAGGAGAGAGATCTGTGCTATTTACACACATATCTCTCCCCTCTTAGCCCTGCTGGGACCTGGTGATTGACATATCCAGCAGCCAATAGCAGTGCGGGCAGGGCAGTGCACGCTCGTGCACCTGATACATGGAAATGCGGTGTCCCCAATGACAGCGATACAGTGATCAGTGCTAATAAAAAGCACTGACACCGTACTAATGACACTAGACAGGAAGGGGTTAACATCTGGGGCAATCAAAAAGTTAGCTGTGTGCTGTTTTACTAGGGGCTGTGTTTTTGTGCTTCACTGTAAGCACACTGCTTTGCATGGCTGTGCTATGCACAACCATGCAAAGCAGTGTGCACAAGCTGACAGGAACGAGAACTGTTTTGCTTTCATGCAAAATATATATGTATCTATCATATCTGCTATAGGGTGGTGGGAAAAAAAGAATAATTGTATATTAATTGGTTTATGTGAAAGCTATAGTGTCTACAAACTATGGTGTGTTGTACTGTGTGTGTGTGTGTGTGTGTGTATATAGATAGATAGATAGATAGATAGATAGATAGATAGATAGATAGATAGATAGATAGATAGTCATTTTTAATCAATGCAACAATGAGAAGACTCCCAAAACAGGAATGGTTTTATAGGTGGAGGTCACTGACTTTTTTTTTCTACTTTTTTTCTGACTGTGTTTCACTAGTTTTGCATTTGGCTAGGGTCAATGTCACTACTGGTAGCATGTGGCGATACCTGGACCCTACAGAGGTTGCACAGGCAGCCCAACTCCTCTAGGATGTCACATCAATACGGGCCATTGTCAGAAGGTTTTCTGTTTTTCCCAGCACAGTCTCAAGAGCATGGAGGAGATTCCAGGGAACAGGCAGTTACTCTAGGAAAGCTGGACAGGGCCGTAGAAGGTCCTGAACCCATGAGCAGGACTAGTATATGCTCCTTTTGTGAGGAACAGGATGACCACTGCCAGAGCCCTACAAAATGACCTCCAGCAGGCCACTGGCGTGAATATCTCTGACCAAACACAATCAGAAAAAGACTTCATGGGGGTGGCCTGAGGGCCTGATGTCCTCTAGTGCTCACTGCCCGGAACCATAGAGCTTTATTGGCATTTGCAATTGAACACCAGGATTGGCAGGTCCACCACAGGCACCCTGCACATTTCACAGATCAGAGAAGGTTCACCTTGAGCACATGTGACAGATGTGAAAGGGTCTGGAGAAGCCATGGAGAATGTTTTGCACCTGTAACATCGTTCAGCATGATTGTTTTGGTGGTGGGTCAGTGATGGTCTGGGGAGGCATATCAATGGAAGGACACACAGACCTCTACAGGCTAGAAAATGGCACCCTGACTGCCATTAGGTATTGGGATGAAATCCTTGGACCCATTGTCAGACCCTACACTGGTGCAGTGGGTCCTGGGTTCCTCCTTGTACACAGCAATGCCTGGTCTCATGTGGCGAGAGTATGCAGTCAGTTCCTGGAGGATGAAGGCATTGATACAACTGAATGGCCCTCATACTGCCTGACCTAAATCCAGTAGAGCACCTCTGGGATATCATGTTTTGGTCCATCCAACACCGCCAGGTTGCACCTCAGCCTGTCCAGGAGCTCAGTGATGCCCTGGTCCAGATCTGGGAGGAAATACCGTAGGACACCATTCATCATCTCATTAGGAGCATGCCCTGACATTCTCAGGCATGCATACAAGCCTGTGGGGGCCATACAAACTACTAAGTACCATTCTGAGTTGCTGCAATGAAATTTCAGCAAAATGGACTAGCTTGCTGCATCCTTTTTTCACTTTGATTTTCGAAGTGTAATTTTCATTTCCATCCAACAATGGGGCATCCTTACATTCCTAACACATTACCCAGTCTATATCTGTATAGATATCCAGCATGATATTTTTCTCCATTGAGATCTGATGTGTTTTCAAAGTGTTCCTTTAATTTTTTTTAGCAGTGTATATTTGAAAATTGATTAATCCTGATGTACTGACATCTCATTTCTTGAGGCCCTTAAAATGCCAGCACAGTACAAATACCCACCAAATGACCCCTTTTTGAAAATTGTATTGTATGAGGTATTTATTAACAAGCATGGCAAGTTTTTTGAAGTTGTAATTTTTTGTCACAATTTTTTAGGAAAATAAAGACATGAAATAAAATGTGTTTTTTTTTCACAATTTGTTTTACATACTGTAACCAGTGCAGTACAGTGTCATAATTTGACTGTTGTGGCAGTGATGAGGGACAATGACTAGTGACAATATGTAAAAAAAAAAACATAACATTTTTTTTTATTACATTTTTTAATTTCTTAAAAATTATTTAACATTTTTTTTTATGTTTGAACCATTTTTAAATACTTTCATCAGAGTAGTTCAGTGTCACCATAGTAACATTGTTCTACCCTGGGGGAGGGGATAATGATTTTTTTTTCTTTTGATTGCTGATACAATGAAGATCATTGTACCAGCAATGCTTTGAACTGTCATTGAGTTTCAATCATGACAGATGTGATCTGTGATTGGCTACAGCTAATCGCATGGTACAGGGTGCTGTAGATGACCCAGGTATTATGTGATAGCTGAGGGCCAATCACAGCTCATTAGTATTGGAAGCAGAGCTGTTATGAATTAAATTCATTATTGTTGACATTGTGATCATGTGTTCGCATAGCAATTACATGATCCCCAGGCAACTCAAAGTGGCCTTATACTGTTGGACAGATTCCTCAGTGGACACACAGCGCCCCCTTAGCCCAGGCAGGCACAGTTATGTACATATACATGATTATGCCTGCGTGTGCTGCCCTTCCACAGTATATGTACTGTGGAGGGTCAGCAAGTGGTTAATGAGGAGTACGAGAGGGTAATCCTATTGTTTGGGTTATCTAAGTTCACATTTTTTTTATCACATTTTCCAGAGACCCTATCAGAATTGGGTTCTCCAACTAGCAAAATGTTCTCAAATCAGCAAATTTAAAAGGTTGTTGCTTTTCTTCTGAGAATGCATATACAGGGCTCATTGCTTCCCTGCAAACACAGACAAAGGAAACTCAGGAACATCCTTATGACCATTAGCACATTCTCTAGGGTGACCTTCATGCTCTGAGGAAGCAGTTTATGGGTGATCTGGGTGATCCTGGAGTTCACAGAATTTGGAAAATACCTTCCCACAATTGTATTATGTAGCAGGTAGGAAACTAACAAACCTACAGAAATGTACTACCAGGGACGGACTGACCATTTGGAAACTCGGGCACTGCCCGAGGGCCCGGGGTCAGTAGGGAGCCCCATGAGATGCCCCTGGTACCTTTTTCATAGGCTTTTTTGAGTTTGGGCAAGGACACAGGGGCCCCATGATCCCCTATTGCCCGGGGGCCCCATGAGTTGTCAGTCCGCCCCTGCTTACTACTGTCCAGGTCCCTAACTCTGCATATAAAGTTGTCTCATGGGTCTCATCAAACAAGAGCTGTTTTTCACCACACTGGTAGTTCAGTGCTCCCCAGTCTGACATACACATAATCTGATTCCTGGGCAGAGCAAAATCCCTGAGCAGGCTAGAAGATTAAATAGATGCAAAACCAACTCATCTGCTTCTGCTGGGCTTGTTGTCTAATTGGTCAGTTCAAACAACCTCAGCTACCCCACCTCTTTCATTTTTATTAATTTTGTTCGTTCATGTTTTTGTGCTGCATTAAAGAAGTGTACAAAATAGATATAAAATAAGGTATACAATTTATTTTGGTGTTTCAATGAGGTGCAAGCTTTCTCAGGACAATAATGAAGTGAAAGTGAACAACATGAATATTTAGAAAGAAAGTTAAAATGTTTAAAATGAGTTCAAAATCAGTAAAAATAAAAAAAAAACTAAATCTTACTGTTGCTGATTCAATGTGCTTAAATTATACAGTATGTTACTATTGCCAAATAGACCACTTCATATTACATACTGTATTACTGCCCAATAAATATAGAATTGTAATCTGAAGCCAACAGTTATAGATCTGGAATAGGCACTGTAAAATAATTGTGTAGACATTTTTACATTTTACATTTCTGATATGGATTTGATTATTTTATCAATATCCTTTTCAACACATATAGTAATACAGCAATATATATATATATATATATATATATATATATATATATATATATACATAAAGAGAGAGAGAGAGAGAGTATACAGCATGTCACTATAATAATGACAAAATATTGTACAAATACTTTTACATCCGCAGATAAATTGACATTTATTTATTTTAATGGTGTATTTCCTTATCTTATAATAATAAAAGCAAATTTCTATGTTCTATGTTTCTCTCTTTCCACTAGTAGGAAAATAGTCAGCTGATAATAAAATGGCAATAGCCTACATAGGAACTGCCTTATAAACTAAGACCCATTTGCTAGCAGGGATAGAAAAGTATGTTTTGTTAACTTAAAGCTTTAATAAAATGATACGTTATAAAGACAGCATTCCCAAAGAATTAAGCTCAGCAGAAAATTGCAATTTATGAGAAACAATGTGCAGACGCTCAGACCTGAACTTTGCAACTACAGCAGCTTTTATTCTTTCTACAATATAAAACTGTCTGAACAAATGCAGGAACTGTTAATGTAAGTAACAAATGCTCAACTGACTCACTGGCATTGTATCAGTAGGCCTTATAAATACATGTGCTTTCTATACAGATAAAAAAGCCCCATTGATGCTGTGAATCAAACAGAGTATTGCAATAAAGAGAGTCTAAAGACAACGTTGATTTGGATAAAATCTTAATGTATATTTTTTAGTGTTAAAGGGAACATACAATGTATACTGCAAAAATATAAACTTATATCTCTGATAATTATCCTAAGGTACAGTATAACCCTTTTGCTACCACTAAAGTAAGGCTTAAAGTGGTTCAAAGGGCTCAAGATTTTTTCTTTACCTTAAAACATTCTCTGCATTAAAAAGAAACTACAGTGCATCTGAACACCACAAACCAAAAATAGTATTTAATTAATTTTTCATATTCAAAGCAAACTTTTTGCCTCGGGGCTCATTTTGTTAAAATTGGAAACTTTGCCACATTTGCACAACCTATTTGGACAAGCCACAATATATGAATGATTGAGTGGGCATATTGTATTTAAAAATTAAAAATGAGTGTCTTGATTCAAAGACCAAGGATAGAAAAATGTAAACGTTTTGCACCCCAGCTTTTAGTCCTGCATGGACAGGCTTCAATTTCTGAGTGTTTGAGATGGCATTTTGTGTCTGGAAAAAAAGAATATTATCTTGATTCAGAGACTGAAGATGGGAAAATGTTAGTTAAGTAACACAGATATTAGGCCTGTATGAACAGCTGCAATTTCTGA